TCGTGCCACTTGTTCACGTGAGGGAGCCTGTGGATGGCGGTCCTTATTCCAATTACGCACTAAAACCAGGGCCTGGGTCCTCTGTGAGGGTCTGAAGGTTAAACTGGATTGGAGGTGCCAAAGACTTCTGGGCGTCCTCTTTCATGTCTGGTGTGAGCACTAAATAGCCAGTGCTCTCTGGGAGTGCTAAATTTGCTTCTGACTCTGGAGGTCACAGGTCCCATGATGACACTGGAAAGCAGCCTGCGTGTGGAAACTCTGGGATGTGGCCTGGCCTGATGGCTGACCCCTTCTCCCCTGAGGAGCCTTCCCTATGAGACCTTTCACATACTTTCTGCCTTCCTTATATTCCCTTGGTATTTTACACCTCTGTGTCTTGTCAAGGCTGGCCTTGTTTTAGGGTTCCTAGTGAACTGAATTGGAGTCCCTTGTTTAGATGTGGGTTTAGCCCTTCCAGAGCTGAGCCTCCAGAGGGACTTAATACATGTTGGATGGACTGTTCTGCTAGTGACGAGCAATAGGGTACTCCCCCTCCTCTGGGGCTCCTGCCTGGTGCTTTCCTTGTGTGTGTGGTTTTAGAAATGTATTTTTGTGGGCCAGGGACAGTCGTGCATACCTGTGATCCCAGCTGCTCAGAGGCTGAAGCAGGAGGACCATAAGTTTGAGGCCAGCTTGAGCAACTTAATGAGACTCTGTCAGAATTAAAAAAAAATTAAAAGGGCCGGGGGAGTTGCTTGGTAGTAGAGCACTCTTGGGTTCAATCCTCAGTACTACAAAAAGAAGAAAAAGAAAAATGATGAAATATGATCTGGCTGGTTGCAGTGGCACACAACCTATAATCCCAGTGGCTCAGGAGGCTGTGGCAGCAGAATCACCAGTTCAAAGCCAGCCTCAGCAACTTAGCAAGGCCCTAAGCAATTTAGTGAGACACCCTGTCTCTAAGTAAAAATTTTTTTTAAAAGGGAGTAGTGTGGTGTGGTTGGAGATGTGTCTCAGTGATTCAGTGCCCCTGTGTTCAATCCCCACCTCAAAAAAAGGGAAATGTGATCTCTAGCAGGTACCTCAAAACTTCCTAGTTGAAAGCTTTTTCTACATTTTTAGGTATTTTATGCCTTTTTTTTTTTTAAAATGGGGAATTAAACTCAGAGGCACTCAACCCACCGAGCACATCCCCAGCCCTTTTTATATTTTATTTAGGGACAGGGTCTTGCTGAGTTGCTGAGGCTGCCTTTGAATTTGTGATCCTCCTGCCTCAGCCTCCTGAGCCACCAGGATTAGAGGTATGTGCCACTGCGCCCAGTAGCAGTGCCCTTTTGATACCCGTAGCTGTCTTAGTCTGCTCAGACTGCTGCAAAACAGTACCGTAGCCTGGGTGTGTAGACATTTCGTTCTGACTGTTAATTCTGGAGGTTGGCGAGTTCCAAGACGAAGGTACCAGCAACTTCACTGTCTGGTGTGGGTTCTCTCCAGGCTTGTAGAAGGCCGCCTTTGCCTTGTGTTCTCACATCCCCTTTCTTGGTCCCTGTCAGTGAAGGAGTCCCAGTTCTTTTCTTATGATGGTACTAACCCTGTCACGAGGGCTTCACGGTCATGACCACATCTAACCCTAACTACTTCCTTCACCTCCCAAGACAGTGAAATTGGGGGCTGGGGCTTCTACGTGTAGATATGGTAGGGGACACAAACATTTAATCTGTGACAGGATCCCTCCTGCAGGTCCACTCCATGTTCATTGCCTCCTCATTAGCTGCAAATTAGTCACAGGGGCACATCACCTTATCCTGATCCTCGAAGCCTCTGCTCCCAAGGAACTTGAGGGAACAGGCAGTGGGTGTGGACCAGACGCCCAGCGTCAACTTGAATGAATGGACCAGTAAGGGGGCAACTGATGGAGACATGCCACCTGGTGTCTGGGTTGCATATAGACTGAGCCCTGCCCTTCGTTGGACTGTGATAAGTGACATGACAAGGTTGGTGTGCTTCTTGTGATGTTACAGTACAGGAGAGAACGAATCTTGCAGAAACTTCAGAAACTTGTTGGGAATTTGCCAGAGAGCGTGTTTTAAAAGGCCACATCAAATGGGCTTCCTGTCCCCTTCTACGTAGGAGGTGTGGTTCCCTTATTTGGTGTGGCAAGGATGTGAAGAAGTGCTGGCTGAGGTATAGCAGCTGTTTCAGAAGGTCCCCATGAGGGTGTCCCTTTTCTTTATATGCAAGCAGGAGAACTGGGGGAGGAGAGTCTACTCTTAAGTGGAGCTGAATGGGAATTCTAAGATTTCCTAGAAATAAAAAAACAAATAAGATTCCATTCTAGAAAGTGCTAGGAGCCCATGGGATGAATCATTATCTCCTGGAGTTGGTTTGAAGCTGTAGGTAGTCTGTAGGTGGAGGAAGGAGCCGGGCCTCAGCCCTGCCTGCAGCCTGTCTGGGCAGACTGAGGCCCGGAGCTGTCTCACCTGGAACAACCAAGGGTGGGCTGGAGGCCCAGCTGGGAGGCCGAAACCTACTGAGAGGGCATGATGCCATCTGTTTCTTAGCAGGTCACTCAGTTCTAGTAAAGTGAGCGTCTTTTAATACTGCTGTGTGGCTGAGGTTCACCTGAGTGAATGTAGGTGCCTGCCTGGTCCTGGATCTCCACAGCAGATAGGTTCTGCCAGCCACTTTGGAAGGGTTAGCCTGGCATTCATTCAAGATTTCTAGTCGATTCCTTTTCAAAAATTCACTCTCACCAGGTGTGGTGGTGCACCCCTGTAATCCCAGCGGCTCAGGAGGCTGAGGCACAAGGCGAATTCAAACCCAGCCTCGGCAACTTAGTGAAGCCCTAAGCAACTTAGAGAGGCCCTGTCTCTAAATAAAATATAAAAACTAGGGCTGGGGATGTGGCTCAGTGGTTAAGCACCCGGGTTCAATCCCCAGTACCCCTAAAAAGTCATTCTCGGGCTTTTTGTCAACTCTCCTATAGATACTAGGTTTTATAATAGGTCTTCAGAGCCTCAGATGCTTCCTCCTGGCCTGCTGTGACCCTGCAAGTCATCTGTGTCCTTCAGTCCTCAGCTAGGAGTCTTCCTGAGGAAGTCCTCCTCAATTCCATCTACTGGGAGTCATTTGTCCTTCACATTCCCGACTGGTGTTTCCCTCTGTCCTGGGACACTCTCCTGTGCGACTCTGCAGTCTGTACCAACCTCTGGTCTCTTCCATGCTCATTTCAGCACCTGGAGGGCTGGGTGTGTGGCAGGGCGGTAACCAGGGGTGCCGAGGATTGTTTCTGGCCCAGGGGGATGGGGTGCTCCAGCCTCTGAGGTTTCTTTTTTCCCTTAGTGTCCTCAGCCTGTGGTTTCTGAAAAGTTCCTCCAAGTCATGTGAGAATCACTCTGGGGAAGGGTGAGGCCCCTGGCCTTCCCCAGTCTTGAGTCCCAGGGGTTGTCCCTTCAAGGCTCAAGTAAAATGACTTGGGGACCTGGTTAACCAAGGGTGGAGGTGGGTGGGCGCTGCAGCGACTTCCTGAGCTCTGGTGGGGAATTCAAGGCAAGCCTATAGAAAATGGCAGCTGGCCTGTTTCCTCTGCCCCTTTCCTATGGTGCGGCACAATTAGTCCTGTGGACCACTCTCAGGGTAGGGGTGTCTGCTGTCCAAAAGATGTCCTGGTAGCCATGGTGAAATTAATGTTAATGACTTAAAATTAATCATTTTTAAATTGATTTTAAATTTTAATATATTTTATTGAGCCTGGTAGATCCCAAATGTTACTTCATCATATGATTTTAAATTTTTTTGGGGGGGCGGTACTGGGGATTGAATCTAGGAGTGCTTAACCACCGAGCCACATCCCCAGTCCTTTTATACTTAGAGACAAGGTCTCCCTAACTTGCTGAGGCTGGGTTTGACCTCAATATACTCCTGCCTCAGCTTCTTAAGCCCCTGGGATTCCCAGCATGCCACCACCCCTGGCTAATTCACATTTTTAAAAAATATTTATTAGTTTGTGACCATATTTGCATTATTTCTACATAATGTTTTTTTTTTCTTTTTTATTGGTGCATTATAATGTACGTAACAGTGGGATTTGTTATAATATATTCATACACACACACAAAACAGTATAATTTGATCAGTTTCACTCCCCAGTTCCTTCCCTTTCCCTCTCCTCCCTCCCTCTGGTCCCCTTCTTCTATCTGATTTACATTTTTATTTTATTAGTATCATTTATTTACTTTTGGTGGTACTGGGGAGCACTCTATCACTGGGCTACATCCTTGGTACTTTTTATTTTTTTCTTTTGAGATAGGGCCCTGCTAAGTTGCTGAGGTTGGCCTTGAACTTAGGATCCTCCTGCCTCAGCCTCCCAAGTCTCTGGGACTACAGGCATGTTCAACTATACCTGGCCAATAGAAAATTTAATGTATAACTGTCTTGTCTTTTGTACTAAGTCTTTAAACTTAGGGTGTTTTGCACTCAGTGTGGAATAGTCACAATTCAGGTGCTCAGGGGCCATATGTGGGGCTTTAGATGTATGGTCAGCTATACTAGAGGTTGCTTGCCCCACTCGATGTCCCTTGGAAGCAGTGACTCTGTTGTTACGATGAGGTCCTTCCCATTGCCTGGCTGGTGCTGTTCCTGCCCCATCACTGGTGTCAGTGTGGATTGAGTGGGGGACCAACTGGTGGTGACAGAACTGGGTCAGAGCCTACACTGCTGGCAACCTGGTCACAGCCCTGCTTCCAGCCAGCTTTGGGGAAGCCTGTGTACGCACAGCCATGACTCCCCATGCACAGAATGCAGCCAGGGGATGCTATCTGGTTCTGACATGTCATCAGTTGAGTCTTGGGTCTGGACAGGGAAGGTGTCAGTGAGGCCTGGAGGTGCCAACCTCTGTGCCCCCAGCTGAGCAGCAGAGCTGGAGGGGTGTGTCTTGGGCCTGGGCAGCTCAGCATTTGGAGGGTATGGACCCTGGGGCCCTGTCGTGATTGCCTGAGGCCTCACGAGGGTTCTTTCTTGCACAGGCTCAGCTGGAGGCTCAGAAAGCCACACAGGACTTCCAGAGGGCCACCGAGGTGCTCCGTGCTGCCAAAGAGACCATCTCCCTGGCCGAGCAGCGGCTGCTGGAGGATGACAAGCGGCAGTTCGACTCCGCCTGGCAAGAGATGCTGAATCACGCCACCCAGAGGGTAGGACTCATAGCCTCGTGTGTGTGCGTGTGTGTGTCTGTGTGTGTGTGTGTGTCTGGTCTGGGTCTGTGCTTATGTGTGTGTAGTGGTTTCCCCCAAGCATAGTTAACAGACTCCCAGTTTTGCCTAAAAACATTCTAAAAGCCACAGGTTAACTTCTCCTTGTGGTCTCTTGGCTGGGCCTGGCCCTGAGTCGTACTCTGGGATGACAGTCACCCAGTGACAGTGGAGCTGCCCTTTCTCCCTATTGTTTAAGGTTTGTCTGAATTAGATCATCCCTGAAGGTCTTGACAGTGGACTTGGGCTTCCCACAGGAGCCATGTCATTTTCCAGGGCTGTCTGGGTTTTGAATGCCAGATGGAGCCTCTTGATGAATAGTCTCTGCTAGGCACAGTGGTAGTGTGTCTGTGATCCCAGCCACCTGGGAGGCTGAGGCAGGAAGATCGCAAGTTTGAGGCCAGCCTGGGCACCTTAGACCCTATCTTAAAAAAAAAGAAAAAGAAAAAAAGTGTCTGTGTAATCCCAGCGGCTTAGAAGTCTGAGGCAGGAGGATTGCGAGTTCAAATCCAGCCTCAACAAAAGTAAGGCACTCAGCAACTCGGTGAGATCCTGTCTCTGAATAAAATACAGAATAGGGCTGGGGATGTGGCTCAGTGGCTGAGTGCCTCTGAGTGTAATCCCTGGTTACCCCCCCCCCACACACACACACACACACAAAGTGTGAAGCCATGCTGGGTGTTCATTTAGGGTATGCATATGCTGGTGGTGGAAAGTGGGGAGTCATGGTGGGTAAGATCAGAATGAAGTAGGCGCTTGGGCCTGGCTTTCCAGGTTGAAGCTGGGACTCAGGGAGCCTGCATAGAGTAGGAAGTGGACGGTGGATGACCTTTTTCTAGTATTAGACTCACTGGGATTTAGGCCGTTATCTGTTGTCTCTTTAGAAGATCCCAAGACCTCTTTGGTCACCCTGCTCAGAATCAGAAGTGGTACTGTCTTGATTTATTTGGGCTGCTACCATAGAATGCCACAAACTGGGTGGCTTATAAATATCAGACGTGTATTTCTCATGATTCTGGAGACTGGGAAGTCCAAGATGAAAGTTCCGGAGGATGCATCTGGCAGGGATCTGTTTCCTGGTTCATTAGAGGGCTGTCTTTTTGCTGTCTCTTCACTCCATGGAGGGGCAAACTAGCTCTTAGGCCCCTTTTTATAAGGGTCCTAATCCCACCCTCATGACCTTATCACCTCCAAAGGCCTTGCTCCTAATACCGTTGCTTGGGGGATTGGGTTATAACATGAATTTGGGGAGATGCAAACTTTCAGATCATAACAAGCAGGGACAGTTGCTTGGCTCGGTGACACTTGCTAACTCTGCGGAGCTTACCAGGGGTCTTACAGCATGTTCTGGATACCGCTCTTCTCTTCCAGGCCTGGCTCCTGAGCTGCTCCTGGGATGTCCTGGCCTGTGTTCTTGGCATCCCTTGGCAGTAGCCTCGGTCTGTCGTGCACACTCTGTCCCATTCTAGGTTGAGAACACAAGAGCCAGAAAAAGAACGTAGAAGCGAGGCCAGAGGGTTGCTACAGGGTAGGCAAGTGCTTGAGTGTCACTTCAATGGCTGCAGCCACTCCCACCAGACCTTGCTGATGAGGCTGAAGTGACATGCGGAGGAGTGGGGGTTGCAACTCTAGTCTGGTGTCTCCCTGAGAGCTGCCTGCGGGACTGGAATAGAAAAGTCAGGAGTCTGTGCCAATGGCTTCTCCCTTTTCAACATCACATGCCACGGCTGCTCAAGTCCTGGGGTATCTAATAATTAAAGATGGCCTTGAGTGTCCTTAAATAGAAAGCCTGACACACAAATCACTTGAAGACTCAAATCTGCGTTGACTTTATGCCACCTCCCCTGGAAGCCGGAGGCACTCTGGCCTTGCTTGGCTTCTGTGGCCTTGAGTCTCCTGCCCCCTAGTGGTCATGATGCTCATAGAGCTAAACATAGGCGGGAATTGTTTCCCTGCATCAACTCATGAAAAAAAACACAAAGGGGAGGTTGGTGGTCTAGGGAAATCACAAGACAAAGCCTGCTAAGGTGTAAAAGGACAAAACACTAAAGGAAATTCGAACTTAGCTGCAGGTTCACCTTCCTTTTTAGTACCCCTGACGCCCAGCTGAAGATCCACGCCAGCCTTTAAGAAATTATTTCAGAAATCATTGACTCTGTTCCTTAAAAAAGAACGAAATAGATGGCCGTGGTGCAGCCTGTAATCCCAGCAGCTCAGGAGGCTGAGGCAGGAGGATGGCGAGTTCAAAGCCAGCCTCCACAACAGCGAGGTGCTAAAGAAACTCAGTGAGCTCCTCTTTCTAAATAAAATCAAGGCTCCAGAAAGTATCTGCCATTTTGTCTTGCTTCTGGATACACCAGGAAGCTGGTTCTTCCTATCGCCTGTTCTTCCTCATCTCCACACACACACCTCACCTAAGGTCATCCGCATGTCCCCTCTCATTCCCCTTAGATTTGCTATGGTGACATTCCGTGCCCAGCCATGGAGCCACAATTGAAGCCAGCATCCTGGGGCATGTGAGGAGCCGAGGTGCTCTCTATCAGGCCACAGGTCACACCACAGACAGGGCCACAGGAACAGCGAGGAGTTTCAGTCAGACCCAAGGAGGCTGCTGTTGAGCAACCTCCCTTGGGGCACAGGGCTCTGAATCCCTCTGCTCTCCAGAGAGAGGTTTGGGCAACAGTCCCCGCTACTCCTGGATGCTCTGGCCTTGAGACAGCCTTCATGGGAAAGTGATGGCTTTTTATCCTCTGAGTCGGGAGACCCCGGCCACCTGTGAGGGAAGGATTGCCTTTTCTGATGTCTGCTGAAGGAGCCAGACAGAGAAGAGGGCAGTGTGACTTGGAAATGGAGAGGGAGTCACGGCTTATGAGCTGGCAGCAGGCAGCTGCTAGAGAAGACGGGACATGGCCAGCCTCTGCTCCCTGGTCCGCAGTGAACATGAGGCCCAGGATGGCAGACAAGCTGCTGAGGACAGCTGCCCTGCTATGAATGGCCCCAAACCATAAGTCTCTCACGTGGCATGGAGAGCCACCTCTGGGGTCCTCTTGGAACAGGGATGCAAGAAGAAACATGCTCAGAAGATGCTGAATGAGGTTCCGAGTAGACCTGAGGGGGGAGGAACCTCAGGCTGGGAACAGTTTAGAAGGCCATGTTGGGAGGCTGAGTGCCATGCTGCGGGTGAGTTCAGGTTGTTCTCTGGTGGGACCCAGCAAGGAGGCTGTGCCTCGCCAGGCTGGCACACCTGTTTGGTGCCCGTCGGCAGGAAGGCACAGCTGTCTGGAATCTTCTGTGGGCTTACCATGAGCAGGGGCTGCTGTTGATCAGTAGCTCCATGGTCCCTGGACCTTTAGGCCCCAGCTGCTCTGGTGCTTCGGGGAGTGCAGCAGGCCGACTCTGTCCTGACGGCCCAGGAAGAGGAGAGGCAGAGGTCTGTGGTTCCCACAGCACCCTCGTACTGGCAGACCTTCTGCAGGGCCCTCTGTGCTTGCCTTCTTGGGCCTGGGTGCAGTGCCAGCTTCAGCTGCCTGGGTCTGCTGGGAGACAGTGGGCACCAGTGGGCGGTCCACTCTTGAGCATTTGGGGTAGGTCTGAGGGGCAGGAGTGCGTCTCTGCAGGTTTGCGGAACCTCAGGATGGCCTGACTTCTTAGTCCTGAAGGTTACAGTGGACACTCTGAAGCTCACAGAGCCTGTGGATGGATGATCCCCAGGACAGAGCCCACTCTGGTGAGAAAGTTCTGAACCATCTGGAGGGAAGTGAAGACCTTCTTCACGTTGGACAGTTGTCTCCTTCCGCTAAGTTCACCTGGAGCCTTCCAGCTCAGGGAAATGAGGCAGAAAGCTGAGCTTTGTGCCCTGTTTTCCTTTGTGTCCCCCATGTGATCATCCTATGGAAATGGCAGATAGGCCTCAGGGACCTGTGAGTAGAAGCCAGGAAAAACTGGCCTATGTCAGAAGTGTGTCTTCCTCCTCCTCATCCATCACCTCAGATTCCACGCCTGTTCCAAGGCCCCCTGGATCCCCCACTGCCTTGAACAATGGTCACTGCTGCTAGGAGTGTCCACACCAACAAGGCTGTCAGCCCAGAGTTTAGTCAACTGTGTCCTGCACAGTGCCTTTGTATGCAGTAGGTGTTCAATCACCACATGCAGCTCTGACTCAATGATGGCGGTAAAATGAAAGCAGACCTTGCAGATGGGAGGAGAATTCTTGGAGTCCAGATCACAATACCTGGTTCGTGCAGGCTTTGAGGGGGAAAAGGCTGCTCTGGGACCGAGGTTCAAGCACTGGTCTGATTGCTCAGGCTGGTCCCAGCTACCTTGAGGGATTCATTATGGCTTTCCTCTGTGGCTCTGCCTCTGTCCCCTGCTGCTTCAACCTTGCAGGCACAGCCCCTGTCCCTGGGCTCCCTCTTCCTCCCTTACCCTCCCTTCCCTTCCATCACCACACACCTCAGGCCAGATTCTAGGCTGCAGATGGAGGAGCTCCTTGGTTACCTAGGAGATGTACCAGGTGACAAGCTTGGGGCCCCCCTCTCCCCTTCAAGGTGGGAAGCTGTGTGTTTTCTTTGAAGAGCTGGGGATTGTGGGTATGTATGGGGAGGGGGGATTCAGACAGGACAGGGTAGAGGTGGCCTGTTAAGGATGAAGTAGGATGTATTTGTACCCTTCAGTCTTTACTGGCAGTGTCGCCAAGTGCATGTTTAATTTTAGAAAGGCTTTGCTTCTGTTTGCAGCCTGGGGACTGAGGGAGATGGAGGGTCTGTGTGCTGGTGAGCACCTGGCATCTTGCAGGGGACTCTTTCTGTTCAGTAGCCTGAATTACAGCTTTTGGAATTCAGTCTGTTGAATACGCATTCAGACCACTCCTCACAGGTGAGCCCTGCCTGCAGATCCTTTTGGAAAGAAGCAAATCTCCCAATATTTTGTCTTTGTTGATAAGCTTGGGGTTTTGGGTATTCATAAAGGTTACTCCAGTCAATCCTTAGAGTTCAAGATTTAAGGCAAAGCTGAAACATTCCTGAGGTTCCCGCAAATGTCACGCACAATATTTTTAGTGTCTTTTGTTTCCTTGTGAAATAGTGGATGTTAGAATGAGCTAAGTGGTTCTCTTAACCCTTTGATCTTGGTTGAGAAGTCACTTTAGTCACCCCCCTGCCCACTTAGCTCATTTCCCTTCTCTGACTTGGTGGGTTTTTTTTTTTTCCAGGGAAGGGGGCTACCAAGGATCCCAGGGTGCTTAATCACTGATCCATATCCCCAGCCTTTTCTAATATTTTATTTAGAGACAGGGTATCACTGAGTTGCTTAGGGCCTCGCTAAGTTGCTGAGGCTGGATTTGAACTTGTGATCCTCCTGCCTCAGCCTCCAGAGCCGCTGGGATTACAGGCCTGTGCCCCCACACCCAGCACTTCGTGACTATTTTAAAAATTATCTCAAGCCTTTGTTAAAAGATACATGTTTTTAATGTGAAAGTGTAAATTGATACAAATAAAAATGGTGTCCTGGCAAAGACTTTAACTGATGGAGGAAACTGATACATAAGATGTTATAACAATTCTTGAAGTTTTTAAAGAGAATGGAAGAAAAAACACTCATAGAAAATCAGGAATGTTGAAGTAGACTTAGATACAAAATTGGTCATTACTTAGAGGGCAACTGATAATCAATTACATCTTCACTAGGATATAGTTCAGCTTCATTTCTCTAGATGAGAATCATCTATATTACTGTCAGTGTTCAACAACTCACAAGATTGTAAAGTAGCTCCAAGACAAAGTCAAATATAACTGAGGAGGGTCCCTAAAATAGAACATCAGTGATTTTTTTTTTTGAAAAAATTTTTATTCTTTTTAGACATATAGGAATTTAATTTTAAAAATCACTGATATATCGAAGGCATTCACAATTTTCCCTAGAACCTTTAAACATCATTATTGTAAGTAATTGAATAAATTGTAATTATTGAATAAATGAGCCACCACTGGGGGCTGACTGCAGCTGTTGCCTGAAGGAAAGGGTATAACCCTTCTGTGAGCTTCTCTTTGAATCTCAAGTTACAGGCAGGGTGGACCCTCTAAAAACTGTCCTGCTGGGGTCCAAGTAGGTGGGCCAATGACCAAGCGTCCGTCCTTTGAGCTTCTCTCTGATGCTCCTTAGGTAAATATAGAATGACCCTTTAAGCCAGGTGTGGTACACGCTTGTAATCCCAGCAACTCCAGAGACTGAGGCAGGAGGATGGCAAGTTTGAAGCCAGCCTCAGCAATTTAGCAAGGCCCTAAGGAATTTAGCGAGACCCTGTCTGAAAAAAGGGCTGGGGATGTGGCTCAGTGGTAAAGTGCCCCTGGGTTCAATCCCCAGTACCCAAAATCCCTTTAGTTTAACTGTGCTCCTGCAGAGGAGAGGGGAAGAAATGACCAGCTGTGCTGTGGGCGGGCCTGCCCTGGGCTGCCTTCCTCTTCCCTGAGGGCAGACATTGTCCTGATGGAATGTGAAGAAAGAATGATTGAGCCTGTCTTTGAATTGCCTTGATTTTTGTCCCTCAAGGACCCTTAAAAAAAAAAAACTATCAACAGGCTTAACAAAATATTCCCTCTAGAATTTCCCACCAGAACTTGGACTTATCTCCTGAGTGGATTTTTTTTAAACAAACTTCAAGATCTGATAATGAATGACATGGTTGTCATTTTCATTACTTAATGTAAAATTTGACCTTTCTGGATCCTCGATTTTTTCCTGTGCTCAGCCAATGAATTCAGGATATTTGGGGAAAGACGCACACACACACACACACACAATACTGGGGTGGAGCCCAGGGGCTCTCTTTTTTTGAGACAGGCGTCACTAAGTCGCCCAGGCCAGCTTCAAACGTGTGATCCTCTTCCTCAGCCTCCCAAATTGCTGGGATTACAGGCATGGACCCAGCTTCCTGATGCCTCTTAAGTTCCCACTCTCACTATTTGGCCATTTATCTGCCCTTCAGGTCCTGCCCCAAGAGGGTAGTAAGAAGAGCTCAAGATGGCTCCTTACAGCCAGGAGGCCTGAGCAGAGGAAATTGGTTGAGTCTGAATATTCCAAAATTTTCTCTAATTTTAATTTTTCCTTTTTCTTTCCCATAAACTTGGCCATTTAATCTTACCTGGCAAGGCTCTTTCAAAATAGACCCATGGGAAAGAAAATCCCGTTTAATTGGAAAGTTGGTTCAATCTGAGAGTCTGACTACTAATTTCCTCCAAGAACCTTCTCACAAGATGATATAAGTTATACCCTGTCCAGGAGCTGTTCTGGGCTTGACTGAGCTGACCTCTGCTGTTGTTGGAAGGTTATGGAGGCGGAGCAGACCAAAACGAGGAGCGAGCTGGTGCACAAGGAGACTGCAGCCAGGTACAATGCCGCCATAGGCCGCATGCGACAGCTGGAGAAGAAACTCAAGAGGGCCATCAACAAGTCCAAGTGAGTCTGGGTGCAGCCTTCACCAGGCTGCAGGGTTGACATCTTCCACATCCTCTCACCAGAGCCCCCTGTCCAGGCCTCCTGGTCCTCGGTGTTCTCTGTGACCCTCCAGAGGCAGGGGATGCTGAGGGGTGGGCTGCTCTAGGCATGACTGGGGAGATGCAAGAGATTTTCCATACTCACCCAAGGCATCCTACAATCCCTTGTCCTCTGCATGCTAGCAGTGGGGGGCATGGGAGCTTCATGGGTCAGCTCTAGTGTTGACGTCACAGCTCCTAAAGAGCCATGGTCTTCTGGCAGACTCTGAATCCAAGGGACTGGGAGAAAGCTGACATTTCTTGTCCTTTCTCTTGCTTGTGACCTGGTTGATTCTGCCAACTGCCCAACTCTAGCTCTGGCCACCGTCCTGAAGGATCAACTAGAGCCCCCAGATTGTGGTGGCCCCACCAAGCCCAGTGAGGGCTGTTCTCGCCCAGCAGAGGAGGTGGTTTAAGCAGCCTCATGTGTCCTTCATCCTTGGAAAGCAGATCCACGGCAGCATTGCTGCCGGGTACCGCTGTGTGGCCTTGAACAGCCCCCCATCACCACCAAAAGGAGAGTAAACCAAGTGCAGGGTCCCCAGTGTCCAGAAATGAGCCCCCTATCATCAAGCCCTGGGTGAGGCCCACCAGCTGTGTCAGGTGTCTGTCACTCGGGCCCTGAGGCTGGGAATGTCACCTTCATCTCTTGGCCTTGTCAGAGTTCACTAAATCCTGTCCCGCTGCAACTAATGTCTCCGATGCACCTCGTGAGGTTTGTCGTGGTCATTGTGTCTTATTACTCTTACAATTTTCCTTCCCGTCTTCCGCAGACCTTATTTTGAACTCAAGGGAAAGTACTACGTGCAGCTTGAGGTATGTATTGCCTTGGGATTTGTCCCTTTTGGGTTTTTTCTGCACTCAAAACGCCACTTTGATGTGGTAGCGGACTTTCAAGTGACCCATTTGCTGTTTCAAGGGGAGCGTAGAGAGAGATCCTTGACTGAGTTTTTAGATCTGAAAATGGTCCTGATGGGTCTCCCATGGCGTCTGAAGCTAACTCTGCCATTTAGTGACTGTACTATGTTTTACACTTGCTCCTAAGATGGGTACCACCTGGCAACTTGCTGGTTCCCAGGCCTCACCCTCCACCTGCTGGATCAGAACCTCTGGGCGTGTGGCCAGAGATCTGAGTCTTCAGCAGCCTTCCAGGGAATTCTGATACAAGTTTGAGAACCAATGTACTAGGGACCAGATGGCTAGACTGTGGGACTTCCATGAGCTCCTTCCCTGACGGGCTGTAATCCACCAGCGAGAGTTTCCGGATATCATAGCTTGTCACCTGGATGGGAGCACAGAGGGGTTGGTGGCTGAGTTTTCTATCTGGTGAGTGGGTGGCTGTGAGGAGTAATCGGGCTCTGAGTCACATCTTGGGAAATTCTTTGAAGTGCAGAAAATGTTCTTGAACCTGCACTTCAACAAGTGTCTTGGGGCCAACGCGGGCAGCGCTCACTGACTGAATCTCCCGTCTTCCTGACCAGCAACTGAAGAAGACAGTGGATGACCTGCAGGCCAAATTGACCCTGGCAAAGGGCGAGTACAAGACAGCCCTGAAGAACCTGGAGAGGATCTCAGACGAGATCCACGAGCGGCGGCGTTCCAGTGCCATGGGCCCTCGGGGCTGCGGTGTGGGGGCAGAGGGCAGCAGCACGTCTGTGGAGGACCTGGTGGGTGGCCAGCCTGAGCCAGATGCTGTTTCAGGTGAGCTGGGCAATAAGGCCATGTGGCTTATGCGATCCACTTCCAAGGCTGTCTTGTCCCAGGATCCCCGCCCTTTATGCCCATGCCAGAGGATGTCAGAGTATGCAGCCCTGCAGGCTCTTTCTGGTGGCTTCCTAGGTTTGGTGGACTACTGTGTTCGGTGAAATGCTAAATGTACTCAAAGAAGTTTGGAAAATGTTACACCTTCATCCCACTCTGACATACTTTAGAACATTCAAGGTTCTGAGAAGTCCTGCAGGGAAGAGTTGTCTAAGAATAGGGACTCTGGGCTGGGCACAGTGGTGCATGCCTGTAATCCCAGTGGCTCAGGAGGCTGAGGCAAGAGGATCGTGAGTTCAAAACAATTCAGTGAGACCCTGATTCTAAATTAAATTACAAAATACGGCTGGGGGTGTGGCTCAGTGGTCAAGTGCCCCGAAGTTCAATCCCCAGGGCCCCCCACCCCCCAAAAAGAATAGGGACTTTGGAATCACATTTGATCCACATCCTGGCCTTCACAATGTAGTCAAGAGGTGACCTGATATTTGTTTTTTTGCCTGTAAAATGGAGGGTATGATAGCATCTATTACTTTTTGTGATGTAGGTTGGTGGTCAAGAGTATATGAAATAATGCTTGGCACCCGGTAAGCGCTCATCAGGCACTCACTGATGTCTGACCATGGAGACCTTTTTTCTGATAGAGGTGTGATTTGGCTTCTGTTATGTTGAACAGGAAAACCTCGCCAACACCCGTCTTTAAGCACTTCATTTTTTTTCCTTTTCTTTGGAATAATCCCTGTTGGCTCTTTGCCCTTCATCAGGAATTCTTTAATTCCATCAATAAAAAGCTTAAATGTCAGATCCAAGGTAAAGGAAACTATAATTTGAAATTTAAGCAATGACTGCGAGTTACTTTAGTATATATCAGCTCATAAACCCTGTATGGAGGGGATCATGAAGCTCAGAGATGTTAAATAATTTGACAAAGCCACACAGCAAGAAATGGAGTTAGAATATGAATTGAGGTCTGAGTCCATTTCCTGTGCCCAACATTACAGCACTTATCATTTGTAACAGTCCTGTACAGATGCTACAAGGCTATTTTTAAAGATGAAGGATGAGGAGTTGGAAAGACAAAAGAAGTGGAGCTGTGTGCAGGCTGAAAGGAACATTAGTTAAAGCTGAAAGGCTCTGAAACCCAGGGAAAAAAACATGAACTGGGCCTTGGTTATTCTGGTCCACAAACTAAGGTACAGAACACTGTAAGAGTTTTGTTCTTTGCGGCAAATAGTGATCTAGGTGGATTTTGTTTTGTTTTTCAATTTTCGGTAGTGGAGACTGAGCCCAAAGTGCTCTGCCACTGAGCTACATCCCTGGTCCTTCTGAGACAGGGTCTCACTAAGTCGCTGAGGCTGGCATCAAACCTGTGTTCCTCCTCCTCAGCCTCCTGAATCACTGGGATCTTAGGTGTATACCACTGCACCCAGTCTGTCCGGTCTTAAGTGTGTCTTTTACAAGATCAGAAGTTACCTGGAAGGAAACAGAAGTCCCCACAGATATTCCATGTGGGGCAGCTTTTGCTTTTTTGGCCTTATGAGAAAGTTCTCAAGTCTTTTTTTTTTTCTTTTAGTTGTAGATGGACACAATACCTTTATTTTATTTATTTATGTTGTGCTGAAGATCGAACTCGGTGCTCTATGCATGTGAGGCAAGCGCTCTACCACTGAGCCACAGCCCCAACCCTCTTCAGTCTTCTTGGAAAGACTGGCTCTGTTTGGGATCCATTCCAGTGGGCTAGCACCTCTTCCTGTTTCTGTTTTGGTGGTAACTGAGGTGGAGAAAAGGTCCTGATCTGTGGCTGTGGCTGAATTCATCTTCCTCCCTCTGCAGAGTCTGGTAACCCTGATTTCTAGGGCAGGGGTTGAGGTTACTCTAGGGACACTGACAATCCATAGGATCCAGCTGCTTTGCTTCGTGCTGCTTTGGTCGCTGCAAAGAGACAGGCTCGGGGTCACACTCGCCTGTTAGGCACCTCATGGGCAGATTCTGCAGTCCCTGTGCTGTATGTCACTGTCAGCAGCAAGCACTTCTGCGAGTGTTGAAGGAACTCAGTTACTACCACCTATCAGATTCCATGTGACTGGTGTTCTCTCTCTTATCCCCAGTGGCCTCGGAGGCCTTTGAAGATGACAACTGTAGCAACTTTGTGTCTGAAGATGACTCAGAAACCCAGTCTGTGTCCAGCTTTAGTTCAGGACCAACGAGCCCATCTGAGATACCTGACCAGTTCCCTGCAGTCACAAGGCCTGGCAGTCTGGATCTGCCCAGCCCAGTGTCCCTGTCAGAATTTGGGCTGATGTTCCCAGTGCTGGGTCCTCGAAGTGAATGCAGCGGGGCCTCCTCCCCCGAATGTGAGGGAGAACGAGGTGAGTCACAGCCTTCTCGTCCCATCCTAGATGACCTGCTGCCTGGCCTGTGTACTGCTACAGACTTCTGCCAGCTCTCGGGGCTCCCAGCACTGCCCTCCTGGGTCTATGAATATCCTGTTGGCCTTGATCACTGGGATTGTTCCCAAGGGCTGTTCTGGGGGGTTTCTGGATCTTCCTCACTGGCCTTAATAAAGTAGTACCTATGTCCTCTCTCTCTCCTCAGAACAGTCCCCTTGGCAAGCACCTGCTAGAGGGGTTTGTTTCCTAGATACAAAATGAAAATGACAAATTAATCACTAATGAAAGGGATGTATAAAACATTGAGGAGTAAAAGCTGTTAGCGATCATGTGCTAGGGAACCTGATATGCACTGTGGGCCATGCGGGAATTCTAGAGGGCTGAGTTAGCTGATTGGCTCGTGACCGAGGAACGTGGAATTTTCTGTCAATACCCACTTGGTAACTTTTGTAATCTCTACAGGAGACAGGGCAGAAGGGGCAGAGAATAAAACCAGTGACAAAGCCAACAACAATCAAGGTCTCGGCAACCGCAGTGGTGGTGGTATCAGGGGCAAGAGCCAAAGCAACACCTCCCTGGAGGGCCAGGCCTTGGAGACCCGGATGAAGCAGCTTTCCCTCCAGTGCTCAAAGGGAAGAGATGGGATTATTGCTGACCTAAAAATGGTGCAGATTGGCTGACGCATCCAGGGCTATGGCCCATGTGCAAATCAATATTTATACATGAAACTGGAGAACGTTGTGCCAATAATCATTTAATATATGCCAAATCTTAAGCATCTACTCTAAACTGCACTAACGAAGTTTCAGTGACCTTGAGGGCTGAAGAATTTCCGTCTGGTAAGAGCTCTTGGGCTTGTTTTACAGAGCAGGGTTGTTACAGGTGGACTATGACCAGGGTTACAGCCTTTGCAGAGCAGTCCCTGTATCAGTGCTGAGGAAGCAATAATTAGTTCCTGTGAAAGAAAACGAGCCAGGAAGAGGGCTGGAAGCTTAGCCAAACTAGGGGCCCCAGTGTGCATCTCTTTCCCTTCTGACCCTCAGTTTGTTTGGGGAAACTGAGATGTTCTCTCCCATTATATCCCAGAGCATCTAAATATTTTTTTAAAAAACCCCACACAACAAAAACTCAAATACTCAGAGCACACCTTTTTGACCTAGTGAAGGCTTAAAATGAAATGCAAGAACACAATTCATTTTTATTACCTCTGGTGTTCAGAGGTGACTTTAAAAAAAAAAAAAGCATGTATGCTGGGACATTCATCAAAACCATTTCTAGGAAGGCTACCATGAACTGCACTTTTCTAGGGGGGGAGGGGGAAGGTGAATGTCAGTGTGGGGAAGGGGGGATGAGGGTAGCAGGGACAGGTGATAGAGGGGATTTGTGGCTTTGGGGAGAAGGTTCTATAGCATAACCTTATCCTGCCAGCCAAGGGGATTTATTCTAAGAGAAGTGCATGTGAAGAATGGTTGCCATTGTTATATCTAGATTGACAAGGTGTTAATTTCTCTGTAGATTGTAACTTTAAAAATAAATTATTTAAGGTCATGCTGCACTAGTATTCCTTAGAGGAAACTGTCCTTAAAGCTAGAAAAGGGAGTAGGCATGTGTTGGCTAAGGCTGTTTAATAGATGCAATGGAGTCTGCTATGCTAATAGTATAAGTGTTAAGACTGCTCTTCTTTGTTTTCATGATTATGCATATTTAGAGCACTATATTTTATTTGTCCTGTTTCAAGAAAATTTAGCATTTCTGAAAGAAAGCTCTCCCCATTTCAAGTTGTCTGTTAACTGTCAGAACTGTATACTTTAGTCATTTGTATATCTTCATACTGTAGTGGTTTCTCCTTTTTTATTGACTGATACAGTATCCTGATTACAAGGTTATTTTGTACTTGTCTTAAAACCTTTGAGTGTAATAAAAACTGCTTAAGAAAACTTTTCTTTTTTTCTGTGTGTGTATGTGTGAGAGAGACATCAAATCCCAGCAGTGGCTGCCTCTTGCAGTAGGAAGAGCATGGAATGCAGTGGTCGTTGGTCGTCTTTCTCATCGTCAATTGAGGTCATGAATTATAATTAAGGCCAAAGTTTGAATTAAAATCCCACTCCTGCTGATGCACAGCAGTGAGGAAACATGCTGGTGGTGGTGCCAAGGAGAGGCTCTCAGCTATTGTCTTGTTCCCAGAGACGGTTTAACTGGCCTGTGGTGCACTTGGTGTTGCACTTTCAAAAGCTCTCCAAGTGGTTGTAAAGTACTTTTCTGATTGGGGAAAGGATCAGTGCCAATGTTATGCTGGGCTGTTAATCTGCCTACTTTCGATGTGTGCTTTTCAACTTAAAGGCATGCAGTGGGAAAAGTGCAGGGTAACACAGTAATCATGAGGGTGTTAAGGTACTTTACCTACTTCATTTCAAAGTTCATCCAAGTCCTTTTTACTATATTTGTGGGTTTTCTAGTTTCCGTTTCCAGTACTGGGGATAGAACCCAGGGCACTCTTATCCTGCCAGTCCTTTTTTGAGAGAGTCTCAGCGAGTTGCTGAGGATAGCTTCAAACTGAGGATCCTCCTGCCTCCGTCTCCTGAGTTGATTACAGGCATGCACGATTGTGTACTAAGCCATGTACTTGAGTTATGATGATCCTATCTTCCCAGTCCTTTCTCTCATATTCTCCTTGCACCATGGATTCTAATAGAGATACAGAGACTTTCTTGAGTTACTGTTAGCAGAACCCATTTCCTGCAATTGAGGCACTGCTCATTTCTATCCCCCTTTCTAAAGGAAAGGGGGGAAAAAAAACCATTTGGAAAAGCTGCCAAAACAGGGATGACTTAAAAGTTCCTACAATGTTTCTGGGAGGCAAGTTGTATAGTCTAATGTTCTGAATCTAATGGGTGGTGAATTTCTGGCTCTGTTACCCAGAGTGCTGTACCATATGTGTGTATTTCTCTAAGTACTTCTTGCAGAGAATGAAAATTGGATGGAATCTTCTATTCTTTCCCTTGTCTTTAAGACAAAGCCTAGAAAACCAAGGTACAGTGCTGTATCCCTTACTGGGGTGGCGGGACTTAATAATCTGGTTTCCTGTCTGTTCCCCTTTCCCACTTGTCTCCTGCACCAGGAAGGGGATGCAGACCACCCTTTGACCTTTCACGTTATCACCCTCATGTTGTTTTCACATTTCCAGGTTAAAGTAACCTGACCCCACTTCATGTAGCTCCTGCCTTTTAACTTTCTCTTTGCAATATCTGACCTTTAGTTAGAATTCCCTGTACGACTTCACTTTCCCCACGGTCCTTGTCGCCTTGTTGAGTCTTTGCATTTATCACTTCTAAAAACACAGTTCCCCTAATTTGGTTCTTAGCCATATTGAATTCACATTTAACTTCTGATTTTTTTAAGTGGAGCACACGCCAATTCCAGATCTGAATTTTTCTGGACAAATTTACTTTAAAAAGTATCATCTTTGATTCCGAGCATCTGTACACATACTGAAATTAGAAACCTGAATCATCTTCCACCTCCCTTTAGCAATTCCTGACTAGTTCTTCCTGTTTCAAATCTGTCCCACTGTTGTGATTTAGGGATCATACCCAGGCCCTTCAATTCTATCTCCAACTCATTCAAGGCAGTTGCCTTCCTACAACTAGGTCTGTGTCCATCTGCTTTAATTACAGCCTGCTGCCCAGATGAAAAGGGGCAGAGGTGCTGAGCTGGGACTCCGGATAGACAGCTTGTGAACCTGGGGCAAGATCTTTAAGCTCGGGGTGGTGGCTCAGTAGTAGAGGGCTTGCCTAGCATGTGTGAGGCACTGGTTCGATTCTCAGCACCAAATATAAATATACAAAATAAATGTCCATCGGCAATTAAGTATATATAGTTAAGCCTAAGAGCTTAAAGATTTTTTTTTAATTTCCTCATTTGTAGAAGGAAATAATAGTGCCTATACTTCAGCTACTGGGAAGATTATAAAAATGTAGCCAGCAGTTAATCTGCCTCTTGAGGCTTTACCTTCATGGTTTAAGTTAAAATAACTCAAGTATTTTTTTTTACAATGATCCTGGCAGAATTACTTTTTCCTTTGTACCACAGAGCTCTATTTAGAGCTCTGTTATGGAATTCAACATTGTAATATATTAAACTGTTCACACTGTAGATCTCTACAGATTTGAAGGTAGGGATTAGGTCTTATACATGCATGCTGCACAGGATCTTTCACACATGAGAGTCAAATCAGTGTCTAATCTAGCTTGCATGCCAGCGACAGGCACTGTGGCAGAAGGACTGTAGGTTCTAGGCCAGCCAGGGCAATGTTGCCAGACCCTGTCTCAAAACTGGGATAACTTAAAAGTTCCTACAATGTTTCTGGGAGACAAGTTGTGTTGTCTAAAGGGCTGAGAATGTAGCTCAGTGGCAGAGCATGTGCCCAGCACAAGTAAGGTCCTGAGTGTGATCCAGTACTTTTTTTTTTTTTTTTGGGGGGGGGGTGCTAAAAAGCACAACGTAATTATCTGCCACTGAAAATTTTGAAATCATAACCTCTTTTTTACTAAATGAATAGTCAAGCTCTCTAAACTATACAGTTTCCATATGTATAAACATTTTATTTCAATTAAAGGCAATAGAAATACAAAATAAGTTTTGATAATTATAAAGTAGAGACAATGAAAAATCCCATCCTAATTTTCAGACCTTTAAAATCTCAAGTATTCTGATGGATTTTTATGTAAACACCTGGAAATTCATACAACACTAGTTCTTGGTAATTCACTTTTCTATACTATGTAACCCAATTACCACATACTAAATTCTCACTTTCTTCAAAGTGCTGTTATCACAAGAATACTGAACTATAGAGCAATTTTAAAAGACTCTACAAACTAAATTGTAATGTCTTCAATCTCTTAGTTTTATCAGGTTGATGAAAGTACATCTAACAGTGAATATACCTCAGTTCTCTACTTCAATGGCAGATGGGTATCTAACAACAGCCTTCATTCTTCAGCCTAAGCATCTTCACGCTAAGCTAATTAGTACTTCTTAAAGCTTTATTTTATAACATTCGGGCAACCATAAACATTTAAAATCATAAATGCAAAATTAAAATTGGTTATAGTGACATGATTCACTTGGTAATCAGTGGCCTGAGATGTACAGTGGAGTCAACACGACCAGATTTAACTTACAACATGCTCTGTAAAAAAGGGAAACATGTAAATATTTCAAAATATTAAAAAACAGCCTGCCTGCCATTTCCACTCAATGAATCTGTCCCTCGCTTTCCTCATCTGGTTCCCTTGTTCTCTTAGCAAAGGCATCTCACAGTGATGACTGAGTCTAATCTTTAATCAGATGCACATTTTTATACAAAGTAGTCCCTAAATGCAAGCCACCTCTCTATATACAAAACCTTGTAAACAGTACTTCTAGGTGATTAAGGTAATCCCAGCTATATACAATTCTTACCAAACACCATGACAAGCACCAGATTCTACTGTAACACGTTACATTTAATTCCATTCTGTTTATCATCCTGAAGACGTTTGAAAAGCTCATGTTGGTAAGTCTAAAATCCAATAACTGCTGAGAATTCTCCATCACTGAAGTTGTGTTGTCTTGATGGGGATGACACTGTTGAAGTCCAAGAAAAAAGGTCCTTCTTGTTTAGGCAAAAAAGTACTGGGAATGATGTTGAAGATCCCAGCAGGTATATTTTCTATTTCCAGGTAGCAAAATCCACACCTATATTCAGGGGATAGAATAGGGTTTATAGAAGAAAATGCCACAAAAAAACTAAATTGAATACAATCAAAATGCCAACATTACCTATAATCACCACTAGATTTTCTCGAAAAGCCATGGGAACCAGGATCACCTGCCATAGAAACTGTTACAACCTCAAATCCAACACTGTATTGCCTAGTGTTAAAAATGAACATTACTGTATTAGCAAATTGCTGTAAATACATGATTTAATCATATGTAAAGTGCAGATTTACTATCAGATAAAATATATGCTTTCTCAAGCTTCAATAGGAGTAAATAGTATTCTGAAACCATGTATGCTATTTTTACTCTAGTTATATAAAGTACCATTTTATATTTTTTATTTGAAGCTATAAATACTAAGATTACTTTGTTTTTTTTTTAAAAAAAAAAAAAGGTTCCCCAGGGAATAATTTAAAAGAACACAGTATTTCATCTTTTAAATTTGAATGACAGCTACTCTAATAGGCAGAAAAGCCTATGGAGCAGGAAAGAAAGTAATGGAATAAAATCTAGGTTTATAAAAATAATTAGCAGATGATAGACATAACATTCCAAATTAGTAATTAAAGGAATAATTTAGATGAGGTGACAAAATTGTAGAGAATTATTGTATTTCAGGTCAATAAATTTGTTTTCTAGAAGCTTGTACTGTTTTGCCTTTCACGTTTAAAAATTCCAGCCAGATTAGACTTAGATTTGATATAAGATGGGGATCTAATCACTGCTTAATATATGGATACTCAGCTATTCCATACCATATGTTGAAGACAGTCCTTTCCCCATTCCTCTAAATGTCATCACTATCATGAATCAAATGTCCATATATGCAAAGGTTGTTTCTAAACTTTGTTTCAGTTCATTTTTAATATCAATTTGCAAAAGCCACTCATCACAAACCTCGGTCCTCTTAGTTCAATCAGTACTGGCCCAGTCTTTTCTATGTGGAATTGGTAGATGGGATTATTTTTGTGAGTCTCTGGAAAATTTCCACAACCTCCAGCACTCTGACCACTCCACTTTCCATTAATCTAATAATAATAAAAAAAAAAAAAGTTTCTGCATTAACAGAACTTCAACCATTCTATTTTAAAGACAAAACTTTCTACCTTAAAAAATTCCACTTTGTGCCTCCACCCCATCTGCAAAGTTATTCTCAAATTCTGCTTTAAAT